ATGTATTATTTTATTTTATTACAGATTGGTTTCCTAGGAATATGGAAAGTATTCAAAGTGTGTTACAGTATAACATTGCTGTCTGTAAAACAGTGAGGGGTCAACTGGACCAGGCGTCGACTTTGCTGAAGAAGGTTTGGCAAGGTCAAGGACCAAATTGTCGAGTTCCCGCCCATATAATTATGCTCGTGCTCTACATAGAACTGCAGTTGGGTAAGTCCCTAATTCTATTTATTTGTATTTGGCGTTTGAAGATTGTTTTGCGGATTTAGAGGCTTTTCTTACGTTTAGCTACATACTAGGTGTCGCATGTGTAAAGATAATTTACATATTAAAAAATTTGGTGGCTTTGTTTTTGTCACAAACAAAAATTATTATATAGGACATGCGGACGTAGCCAGGACTCTTGTCAAACAGTACTGTTTCCAGTACAAAATCAACAGTTGACCTGAAATATTTTTGATGGATTTTAAAGACGACGACTGACCATAAAAAATTAATCTTTTATTTAATCGTATTATTAGCAAAGTTTAAAATGTTTTTTGTTATTAAACGAAAGTGAATATTAAAGCGCTTTAAGTATGAGGAAGCAAATTGAATGTAGAATTTTTTAACAAATATAATAAACGATAACAGAAGCCTAGAATATCGTAATACATTTTTAATACCTCATATTTAGATCCTCTCCTACATTTGTTGTTATTAGCAACACAGATTTAAGTTTACTTTAACTGATTTTCTCTACGATAATAATTATTGATTTAGCAATAGCCCAATTTGAAATATTGCAAGAATAAAATAACGCTTAGGTACTACCAGTTTATTCATAAGTTTTGTTTCTGGTTTTACCGGGTTCCAGACAGTTACGACATGGTTTTGGCTTCCCTACTATCACTCTCAACTATCAGTAGAATTAAAACATAAAAAACGTATGAGTTGCGTAAATAATAATTTGGAATGAAACAACAGAAATCGTTTAAACTTTTTAATCCATACTTTGATATATAATAATAGAATATAACTTTTATACGTAACAGAATTAAAATTGCAATTAAACCAAAGAGGTTCCTTTTAATTTTCTGATTTTTGGTTTTTGAATATCGTTCGCCCTAATAATCATTATTAATAATAATAACAATACTTTTCGCATACTACTAAAATCTACTTATGTAGACCAATATGCATTTGTAAATTATAATAACAATAAGTATAAAAAAATATGATAATTAAACAGGACACTTTTCACGAACAAATTCATTTTTTCTTTGTTGTACAAATTTTTTAACAGTCACGTCCCATCCTTTCTCTAGTAATTTGTCCAAGAATAATTATTTATTTATTATTATCGTTACACTGTTAAATTTTAAATTCGCTAAATTCACGGTGAAGATTAACAAGAAAACTTAAGTTTAAGATAATGTCTGATGCGTGTTATGTTGGAAAACAAAATACATATTTAAAAGATTTATTTAAAAGCAAAAATTAGTTATGTCGTGAAAGAATTGAGCACGATCTAATTATGTATAGTTTTTTTTAATTTCGCAAAATAATTACGACTGTAGCGACACCTAATGAAATTTCTTGTTTTCCATTTAATTTGAAATTTGAAACAACACCACACTGACAAAAATCCTATCAGAAAACCTAAGTGTTGAAGCCTAGTTATACTATCTATTTATATGTATTTGTTTGTCATTTGGGACGCGTGATGCGAATTACATGTACATATTTCGGTATATATACATTACATGTATATGTTTTGAGATCTGCCCACAACCAAGCAAATACCTTTTCTTATTTAAAAGCAATACGCGAAAATTGAGCGATGTATAAAATTTTTATTGTATTGTTATATCGGACCAAACGATGTTGCTTTTTGGTATATTCGCGGAAAGTTGTGTGTGTGTGTGTATTGTATGTACAAGAAATTTGGATAAAAAAAAGTTGTCACGTATTACATCTTCTAAATAACTTCGATAATTCTCTTTTATTAATTTATATTTTTATAAAATATAATAATTTAATTAATTGTCATTTTTTTTAATTTTATTTTGTTATCGCTGAATATGACGATTTTGTTTGCCTGTCCGGTTGTGTTCAGGATACACCGTCGCAATTTTATTTACCATTAAAAATTATTAATTAATAATAATGATAATACAAGAACCTGCTTACACACCCTCTCATTTACTCACTGCTCTCACTCTGTCATATTCGCATCGTAAGGCAACTGCTTTCAACTGGAATGTATTAATTTGAACTGCAATAAGCGATCAGTTGGGCATTGGAGGAGAAGAGGGATAGGACTACGAACACTAGGGTAGGGGAAACACATAGTGCACTAAAGCATACGCTTTTCCATTCACGCCATCATTTGCCACGGAAATTTAATAATAATAATATAATACGTGCGGCGAAATACAAAAAGAAACGTTCTCATGAGTTTACGTTTTCTTGCAACATAAAAGTTTTTAAAGCAAATTTCGCTTTTGTTTTTTCGTTATTATTTNGTAAGAAACACAATGGCGAAAAAATAGTATTGTATTTTAATAATAATTTCAGTTTAAATTGCTAAAATGACTGACAAAGAGGAGAAATATGTGGGAAGTGTATCTCAACAAGAATGTGAAATTGCAGAAACGGCTTTATTAGAATTTAACAGGTAAAAGAGTACTTTGAAAGTAGATAAATCATCCAAAGTAAAACGTATTAATATTTTAGGGGGAATTATAACAACTGCTTACAAGAAATTAATAAACTTGAAAACAGAACATTCGATTTTAAGGTATCTCATAATAAAATTGTTGCAGAATATTATAAATCAGAACTAAAGAAAACTGAAGCCTTTCAGAAGAATTTAAACTATTTATTGAACCAAGTAAGTATTTCATGTAAAGCTTATTTGCAGTTAAGACAATCAATTCTTTTAGTTTAGTATCAGACTCGAAAAACTTGATGATGTTGACCACTGTGTGGCACACTTTAACTTAGCAGTAGTATATTTTCACAATAACCAATATACACAGACACTTCGAATTATGGAAAGGGTTTACAAATTTATTGAACCAATGGGTACAATTTAAACAAACAGTCAAATAAAAAAATATACTTATTGCTTGTTTTGTAGATGAAACATTGGCTAAACAAGTTGGGTTGTTACTTGTTGAACTGCAACTTTCTGTGAAACAAATTGATAAAGCAATGACTTTGCTTGTGTATTTAGAGAATTATTTCACTAACACCTCTGTAACAGAACTGAAAGGTGGGAAAAATGTAGGAAAGGAACAAAGTGATAAAGTACATTTATTGTTTGTTTGTATATGAATTTTTTATCTACATTTGTGTTTTTCTTGTTTTTTAAACAGAAAAGTACAACTCCAGTGGAAGAATCTTTCAAGAAGAAATTGGCCGTCTACAAGGCCAGGTGCTATTTGATGAATCACAATCTAGAGTCTTTCAAAAAGGAGGTTGCAGTTCTTCAAAATTCAAAGGTGAGTTATTGTATGTTTCAAATTTCTAATGTAACATTTAAGTGATAACTCGTATAACAAACAAGAAATTCTATCACAATAATTTTGGTAAACTAGTTTTCCACATTTATAATAGTGAATTATATTTAATATTTGAAAAAGGCCACTTTGTGTGGTTTGTTCTTCAGAATTTTAATTAAAATAAAATAATTAAATTTTTAACCAGAAAATAAATTGTTGTAGTTAAGTGATGTAAAAGTTCTTGTTTGTTAGTTTACTCTACTACTAGTGTTCTTTCTTCTTTTGATTAGGTATAGTTTATTTATAATTCTCTAAAGGTACCTCTAGACATAGTGCATATTGCTTTTCAGTAGAAAATTGTATAAGTATAATCAAATTCATTGTAAATGCTCCCAACATCTATAACAAATTATTAACAATTAAACTTAAACACGTATTGGAAATTTTTATTTGTTAGATAAAATTTTTTTTGTATTTATTGATCGAAAGAGGAACTTACTGAAAATACTGAAGCATAGTTGATGGCTAATAGGCCAGCAGCATTAAATTCCACTTTAGTATGAATCATTTGCAAAGAGAACATGTCGATTTGCTGTCTTAAATCATCTTGTCTCTGAAACTGGTAAATTATTGCTCCGCTTTTTCTGGCCTGAAATAACATAAATTGTATTACTGTAATTACTGTAATAGTATTACCAGGAGTGGATTATTTAGATAAAATTTACATTGATTGTATTAAGTAAAAACTACAGAAAAGATAAGTACAGCAAAGTATTATGAAATAGTAATGTTTTAATGTTAAGACCTGACACAAATGCTTAACAATTGCCCTAATTAATTATTTTTTATAATGTCTTTTTAAAAACCAAGTAACTGTTAATACAATTCCTCCAAATTACAATAAACAAAGAATTGATTATAGTTATACAAAGTTCTTTTTATAATCATCATACCTCGTTGCATGTGGTGGTACAAATATAAAAGAGATAGGCAGCATCCAACGTAAATACCATCGAAACAATAGTCAATTGGGCAGCAGCAGGAAGTTGTAAAAGATCGAAATGACTTGCGGCACAATCATTAAAGTAGAAACCAAATAGAGAAGTTTGGAAGCTAACTAGAAACAGTGCCAGTAACGAAGCTCCGAAAATATTATTAATTCGCTTTACTACGTTACTAAGATCGAAATGCATACGCATTACCATTTTCATGAAATAGAAATCGATTCCAATTGATTTGTTATTTACAATGTTATCTACAATTTTGATGTAGCCACCACGTCCATTGCTCTGCGAATCTTTGATTTCCTTCAGGATATTATTCAGGATCGCAAAACGATCCCTTAATAGTAGCCCAAAAGTACATACTTGCATACAAATCGAACTATTGATTACGAAAGCTATGTAATCGATGGTATTGTCGACGTAAGTATGCCGATTAAGACACATGGCGATGTGTGTTCCGATTGCGGTGATTAGAAATAACATGCGAACGACACATTGGACGCGTATCGCTTTTTTTAATCTTTCGTATTGTATTTTGACTCCAAGTTTTTGGAAACGGTTGTCCAAACGAGCCACTTCCTTTATGAGACGTATATACTCTTTCTGGTGGCATAGCAGCCCCATCCACGCTACGAAAACGACTACACTCGTGGCACAAACATTGACAATTCCAATCATCTGAAATCATACTAAAGTAATAAAAAAAAAAGTAATTGCCAAAACTAAGTTTAAAAATGAAGAATACTGAGATCCCTGTATGGAGTTGAAATACACTTTCAATTGACTATTATGCACTTAATCACAAAAAGAATTAGCGGAAGACTTTAAGAGTAATGATAATGGTATAACTAATGACGTACAATAAAATTTACGTTGTTGTTTTTGTTGGAAGAACATATTTAAAAAAAAATTCACCTTAAACATTGGTGGTATCTTCGTAACTTGAATATGATGGTGTATTTCGAAAACACTAGCCACCATCCATGTTGGTATTAAAAGGGTGGTAATATAAGTATGAATTTTTGAGATGCGGAACTTCTTCGTAGAAAAGTCAAAGTTTACAAGTCGGCATATTTGACCCCATGTAAGGGCTGGTTTTATAGCGTTATGAAGGAAAGTTACAAACATGTTTGGTGTACGAGAGTTGAAAAAAGATTAAATTAAATATTGAACGTTGGGGAGGATAATCAAGAAATTCTGTTAAATTTGCATAACAAATAATTAATTAAGAAGAAAATAAATGTCACCTACGTGGTGCTTGTCCATAGGACCGTTACGGACTAATGAATGGATCGATTCGTTAAAATATTTATACGATTAATCACTTAAATGCAGTTTCTAAATACATACATGGTCTATTGGTTTTAATTTTATTTGATTGAATAACTGATCAATATATTTAATATCATATATGTATGTATAAGTGTAATTGTGTTTGTTTTTCAATTATTTTATATCTTATGATTAATCCTTTGTTTAAGGTAGCTATATTCTGAATAAGAAAGATAATTGTTTTAATAGTTTAAGCTTTATTGATATTATTATAAAATATAAACGTTACTTATTTAAAAATACTTTCTAAACGAGATCATACTTTTATATTTTTTTTTATAAAAATTTCATCCCTTTGTTTTAGAGTGCAGCATTTTTGTTTCTCACTGCAAATTTGGAATATTTACAAGGAAATCACAAAGAATGTATGAATATCTTAGATATGATCCCTATGGATATCTTCAATTATAGGTACAAACAAACATTTGATTGATATGTGTGTAAATATTTTCTGTAAATACGTGTATTCTTGATTTTAGTGAACATGGTGAATCGTCAAGAGTAATGAAGCTCAACAATCTTGCTGCCGTTTATCATTCAATGGGTAAATTCAATTTGGCTGCACATTATTTTCACCAAGCATTAAAGGAAGATGCAAAATTTTACCACAGTTCTTCAAAAGATTCCTGTAAGTGTGCAATTCTTTTTTTCTACTTTTAATCAATATGTAATCAAATTAAGCAGAACATGAAATTATTATACATATTGTTTATAGCTGAAAATAGACCACTGTATGTGCTGGGTGGTTCAAGGTATCATGAAATCATATACAATATGGGAATTTCTTTGTTACACGCGGGGAAGCCCGTGCAGGCTTTTGAGTGTCTCACTATTGCCGTCAGACGCTATCATCGGAACTCCAGACTCTGGTTAAGGCTTGCTGAATGTTGCATTACAGCTAATAAAGAGGTGTGTATTTGAAAATAAATATACTGCAATCATTCTATAATTGTGAAAATTTCTGTTTTTTTCGCTCGAACGTTAATTCTAATATGTAATTTGCATAATGTTTTTTAAAATATTTACATAAATGTTCTCTATTTATTAGTCTAATGAAGTGGATTTCGATATCCAGAAAAAGCAAAAAGAAATGGTGGTTGAAGTAATTGGCAGCAAATCGAACAGAAAAGTTATTCTTACCAAAAGTCTTTCTAGTGACAAAAAATATAGGTAACTAAGTCAAAAAGCATGTATTAGTAATATCTGTTTGTAGTATATAACAACATGATGTTCTATATTTGAGAGGTAATTTATTGTACCTGATATTTTGTCCATCTGTAAAATTTTCAATGGAGTTATCAGTACTGGAGAGATGGAAATGTTCTCTTTGGTTGGTCACAATTCATTGTTTTAATCTAATTTGTAGAGATTAATATAAATTAATATGCCGCGCAAACTACTAAGTGTCTACTTGTGTTTATTTATTTACTTATTTATTCAACCATAAAAATTTACTTATTTATTTTTTTATTTCTCTGTTAGCGTAGTAGAACCTGTATCTTATGCTGTACCGATGCCCACATTGGAATTTGCTATGCTGTGTCTTCGTAATGCGTACAATTTATTACCATCTGATACTGCAGCATCGCCAGTACCTCTCCTTCTTATACCAGGAGTGACTCCCCCTGCTCCCCCTCTGACACCTGGTCCGGCTCCTTCATCGTCACTTTCGCAAAGTAGCGTTGCCTCTCTAAAGAACTCTATACTAGCTGCCAGCGCCTATGTTGCCGTCAGTCTAGGGGATTACGTTCTGGCATTAGAGCATGCGCAAAACCTACTTAGCCAACCGAAGATTTCTGGAGTTCATATGTGAGTAGGTTTTTGATATTAAAAAAAATATATTTTTCTCCTTAGTTTGCTTAATAGGTTTTGATTAATTTTTTTGTTAACTTATTGCAGACTATTGGGTCATCTTTATGCTGCTGAAGCATTACTTCTTATGGACAAGATAACAGAAGCATTAGAACACTTGAATCCAGAAAATATTAAGGACATATCATTGGAATTCCCAGAAGATTCTGAAGAAGAAACGATGAAAAATAATCCACCAACAAGTGTGTAAATGAATAATAATATAATTAATTAATTTGGTATATAACTTTATCTAAAATAAATGTGAAGAATTTCGCTCATTTTTATTCAAATATCTAGTATATACATAACAAAT